AGAGAGAAAAAAGGACCGTGAAAGCAGAAACGTCGAACATCCCATCTCCGTTGACTCGATTCGCACACGCACACTGCAAACTGGCACGCAGGTGTCACGTAAAAACATAGCTCGTTTTGGGAGAAATGCTGTGCTCGGTACGTGTGTGTGTGTGTGTCTCTGTGTGTACGTACGCGCGGGATTGTCAGAAGGATGCAACGGGCTTGCAAATTTCACCCTCAACCACGGTTCCAGTTGCAGAACTACCTGCAGGCTGCCAGTTTTGGGCGTTGAACGTCCAGCAGGATTAAATTGTTAATTAACTTTCAATTTTTTAAATTAACATTTTGGAATAACAGATTATCCAAAATGTACAGCTACCTCATCTTTCTCAGAATGAAAATATAATCATCGCTTTAATTATTTCAAATTAAAATGGAAAATAGTTGGCTGTTGTTCACAAAATTCATGTGAAATTGATGAATTTTTTAATCGCTGGAATTTTAACCCTTTGCACTCCGTGATTTCTTCATTTCAGGAAAATAGTAGTTGCATGATTTTCTGCCATAAGTTCGACGATATTTTGAAATCGGTAAATAAGAAAGCGTATGCAAATTGAGACGTAGAATTATTTTACTTCGATATTCCACGCGTCGTTGCATAATTGTAAATTTAATATAGTAATTAACGTCCATCTTTGGAATCCGTTTAAATGGTGACTGAGAGGCGGCTCTCGAGTGCAAAGGGTTAATGGCAATACTAGAAGTCGGTATATCTAGTTTTAGCTATTTCAGCTGTTTCGAGTAATCCAAAGTAACGAAATTAGCACTAATATAACTCTCGAAATTCATAATTCCCACTCTATATAATAGTGTTATACATTCGTCCCTTGTAAAATGTTTATATCAAATATCCTTCTCCCCTGTAATTTTAATTTAATTATTTGATTGCGATAATTACGTTGAATCGAGTATAGAAAGTTTCGAAATTTTTCCCTTCTGAGAAATCAGTGTCGTACGAGAGACATTTGCAGCCTAACCTGTAACTTCCGGTGAAATGTGTTATACTAAATACCGGAAGTGTCTTTGACAGTGGATGAAATGTTACCAGCGCGTTGCATAGTTCCAAGCAACCATACGTGGACTGTGAAGACGTGTACGTGTGACGAGACGTGTCCTTTTTTCCGAAAGAGGTGCGACGATTGCTCGGTTCCCGGGGCAGACAGGTACACAGGGACAAGGGACAGGTGACAAAGGAGTATAGGTCGATATCTGGCCGGACCTAGGCCGGTGATTTTCGCGGTTGAAAACTTTGCCCTCGGTCCTATGGCTAACGCGACCACCCCGCTGATGGGATAATTAAAGTCGTTTAATCAACCATGAAATCGTATCAAAGTACACCGGTAACGGGTGGAACGAGTTTCGATGGCGTGACTATCCGTCGGCCTGTCCAACGAGCGTGTATGTACACGGCTCGACTCAAAGCTGCCCCCCTACAATTAACTTAATGAAACACGATCGAAGGGCGCGCGCGAGTAGGGAACACCCGCGAGACCGGAATTCGAGTTAAAGCAGAGAGGAAAAGAAAGAGAGAGCGAGAGAGAGAGAGGAATGAGAGAAAGAGGGAAATGAAGAAGGGTAAGAGAGGGAGAGGAGAGAGACAAGGAACGGGACGAGAAACGGGGAAAGTGTGTCATTTCGACATTTAAAATAATCTCGCCACCCGAAGGGAACTACTACTCGGCTCTCGTCGATCAATCGGGCCATAGGACGCAGAGGTTAACCCTATTTACGTAATATCCCAAAGTACGTTTAATCACTTGGAAAAGATATCAAATCGAGACGGGTTAAGAGAGGAGACTCGAGTAACGGGTACCAAAAATCCATTTCTGTTTATGCCAAATGACAAATTTTTACGTATGTTGTAAATAAATGTACAATATTAAATTTATGTTGGAAATAAATTGTATATTGTATATTGTAAATTAGATTGTAACAAATTTAAGATTCCGAAATTGGAGATTTTTATGAAAGGGGAAGATTAGAACGGCATTTTGAAAATTGGTATGTAGAATAACTGATTGCGAGTTCTTTGACGTATGAATCAACTATGCTTCGAATATTAATTGTTCAAAGTTCGTTTATTGCAGAATGAAATTAAAGCGACTAATTATGGGCAATTAAGAATCTTTTTGAATAGGATTTTAGTTTCTCCGATAATCCTAAATCGATGTTCAGTATTACGTTAAAATTCTGCATTTTGCAAATTGGGTGCAGTGTAAGTCGAAAAATAAATTACCGATTGCACGATAATATTAATTATAAATTTCTAGTTATAAATTCAAACCGCATATTACTGCCAATTTTGAATTCTGTCAAACAGGATTTTAGTTCTGCCAATAATTCAAAATCGGTATTTACTATTACGTAAAAAGCCCCTATTTTGCAAATTGGGTGCAGTGTAACTTGAAAAATAAATTACCGATTGCACAATAATGATGTTAATTATAAACTTCTAATTATAAATTTAAACCGCATATAACTGCCAATTTTGAATTCTGTCAAACCGGATTTTAGTTCTGCCAATAATTCAAAATCGATATTTACTATTACGTTAAAAGCCCCTATTTTGCAAATTGGGTGTAGTATAATTCGAAAAATAAATTACCGATTGCACAACAATATTAATTATAAACTTCTAATTATAAATTCAAACCGCATATTACTGCCAATTTTGAATTCTGTCAAACCGGATTTTAATTCTGCCAATAATTCAAAATCGATATTTACTATTACGTTAAAATTCTGCATTTTGCAAATTGGGTACAGTGTAATACGAAAAATAAATTACCGATTACACAACAATATTAATTATAAACGAGGTTAAAGATCATTTCTCTGTGTTTAAAGCCCGATATTACTGCCAATTTTGAATTCTGTCAAACCGGATTTTAGTTCTGCCAATAATTCAAAATCGATACTTACTATTACGTTAAAAGCCCCTATTTTGCAAATTGGGTGTAGTGTAATTCGAAAAATAAATTACCGATTACACAACAATATTAATTATAAACTTCTAATTATAAATTCAAACCGCATATTACTGCCAATTTTGAATTCTGTCAAACAGGATTTTATTTCTGCCAATAATCCTAAATCGATATTTACTATTTCGCTAAAAGCCCCTATTTTGCGAATTGGGTCTAGTGTAATTGAAAATATAAATTACCGATTGCACAACAATATTAATTATAAACGAAATTAAATATTGTTTCTCTGTTTTGGAAGCCCCATATTACTGTCACTTTTGAATTCTGTCGAACAGAATTTCATTTCTGCCAATAATCCTAAATCGATATTTTCTATTTTGTTAAAAGTCTGTATTTTGCAACTTAGGTGCAGTATAACTCAGAGAATAAATAACCGATTGCATAACAATATTAATTATAAATTCAAAACCGAATATTACTGCCAATTTTGAATTCTGTCAAACAGGATTTCATTTCCGCCAATAATTCAAAATGCATATCTACTATTTCGTTCAAATTCCGCGAAATGTGAGCAAAAGGAAACGTCTGTATCTCGAAACGACAAAGAACATAGTCGCAAAGTAGCAAAAATATTGTACATTACAAAAGAAATCGCCAAAAATCAGTTTCCATCGGTGCATTTCGCTCGAGTCTCTCTCTTTAATGGAATTCCGCGATTCAATCGGCAGATTTCACCGAATATAATTTAAAGCCGGAAATGCCTGCCGCGATAACTCGAGTATCGAGTGGCGTCTCGGAGTTAAGCGACGCGGCCATTTTGTGCGATCGACGCGCCATAAAAGTCTCCTTCTACGTAGCTCGCGCATCGCCTTCGGATCTACGTCTAAATTCGCATCGGTTCTAATTAATCCGTCGCCCATTGCCACTCTGAACCGACTGAGCTGACTTTCGCGGGGTGTTTACTTTTAAAAGCTGCACACGCCCGAGGAATCGCGAATCCCGATTCAATTTGCCCGACTGGAACTCGCGTCGTCTGACAAGACTCGCGGAATTCGAATTTCGTCTGGAACCTCCCCGGTCGATCCTTTTCAACCCCCGACGAGGGGGCGACGCGTAACTCGAGTGATTATCGGCGATGGGTTCTCGCACTCGCGGCTCGACGATATCTAAAGCGGTTTTCGATATCCGGCGAACCGACCAATCGTCGCCGGGGCGGCCAAACGCGGCCTGCCTGTGAAATGGTACTCGACGGGGATGGGGAGAAGAAGAGAGAAAAGAAAGAGTGGGTGTAAAATTAGAATCGTAGTAGAAATCTCAGGTGCAGTGGCTGACGAGCAAGAAGGGGTTTACGTATCGCTAATTACGTACAAACAGCGTGGATCTTATTCCTCGTGGATCGTGGCGCGCGTGACTCGCTTCGAAACTTTACCGAAATTTTTCACCGAGTTCCAAGGGAACTGTGAATGGAGATGATAACGCTGACAGAGAGCGCCACTGTAGCCGAAACACGCGTTGCTTTAACCCATCGACTGTCACGCCGAATCACACGTTTCGCTCAGGACGCCACGGGAGTATTTAAAACGTTTCAGATTTGCTTCTAATAAAAATTTTTAATCGTTCAATGGGGCAATTTTTACTTCGAAGTATCTTCCAATTAGTGGTTATATTCGAAATGCGCTAACTGACAATTTTCATTCAACTTTTTGCAATTGTACGTAGTCGAAGCGTTCCGGTTAAATGACCACCGTGGCGTCACAGGAGGGACCGTGGCCGGCCGTATATGACCAACGTGGCAGTCAAAGCGTTAACGCGAGGCACAGGTATAGGTCCTCGCGACGAAGCAGAGGCTCGCGAAGCGAGAGAAAGAGAGAACGAACCGCACGATCGACGAGAAATCCACATGACGTGGAAGTCAGATGCATTGGTCAGAAAAAACCAGGATATTAAAAGCGAAACGAAGATCTCGGGATCAAGGACGATCCTGAAGTCAGGACGGTCCTACGATCAGGACCAAGGATCTTGACGAGGGTACCTGAGCCACACATGGGCCGGGCTGCTCGCAACTGCATTGCCGTTTCACTCGTTAGCAGGGCTTTCCATCTCGTTCGTTGTTCGCACTTTCCTGATTGGTCAGAGACTGATCAGACTGAAGATCGGCCGTGCATGATCCGATTGGCGATCATGTCCTAATTTTTTTCCGCCCTTCAACGTTCGAGATCCCACGCGTGCCAGCGATTACCAAAAGCTTACACAGCTTGACAGCGTTCTGCTGTCGCTGTCGCTACCGATTCCCAGTGCCTTCTTTCCGCGTCTTCCCATTTGATATTAATGGCCGTTATTGCCACCGGTTATCCCTTTGTTTGTTTGCGGCCGGCTATACACAGCCCGGGCTGCATGATTTACGCGATACTCGTGCACGATCGCGCGAAGGCGGAATCTAGCAGTCAATAATAAATCGCCGAGGATGGATATAGGGAAACAATGAAACTTTCAATTTGCGGCCAACATTCCGCCTCGCGTTACTTCGATCCAACTTCAGCAACGTGCACGACGATTCCGCGGTGTACAGAGAAGAAGGTAGAAAGAGGTCAGCGTGTATAGAAATTTTCTCTCTAGGTATAGCTGCCGGAATCTATACGAGACATACTTGCCAACGTCTATTTTCTGCCAACTTATTTTTAAAACCACCCCTTGGAACGATTAATTCAGCACGTCTTCGACTCCAGTGATTTCTAATCAAATTTTCTACACATCCTGCCAGTTGCTGTCATTTTTATTTCCATTTTTAACCCCTCCCGTGGTCCCAAAACGTAAACAGAACTGTCAAGCCTTTGAGTCATTTCAGGGCTCGGCAAATCTGTCTTAAATTGCATTAGTTGCATACAATTTACGTGGAGCATATCAACAAAGCATGGGAGTAACACGTGGTGTTCACATTTGGCCTGGCCGACGTACCACGTGCCTGGCCCGTGATAGTCAATTTCGACCCAATCGATTTTCCACGGGTCAGGCTCGTGATAAATGGTTTGGGTCGAAACTGACTATCACGGGCCTGGCTCGTGGTTGTAGGCCAAAGGGTTGACCCTTTGTGGACTGGACGGTTCGAAGTTAATCGTAACATGGAGTCTAATTGCTGCCAATATAGGCATTTCAAATTGTCAGTGCACATTTCTGCTTATTGTTAGTCGCTATTTCCACCGAAAGCACTGCAAGATGTCAAATTTTAGATATCTTAGGCCATAGCAATTCGTTTATATGATATATATATGGGTCTTTGGCTCTGTCAATTGTTTTCGCCAAAAGCATATACATGAGTTCCTCTGCCAAATTGATGATTCATGGAGAACGCATATACGCGGCCATAGTCCACAAAGGGTTAATTCAGCAACAGGGACCGATCTTTCCTTCGATCGGGATGCCAGTTCGTACGAGTTAAATCAGAATTGACAGCTACTTGAAACCAAACTTCTCGAAACCGTTTAAAAATTGACATATCTTAATTATTAGGTGATCTCGAATAGAGGGTTTCGATACTCCTTCACGATCCCCCCAGGCGCGTTAAATATGCACACCGACTATGGACGTTTTAGAATTTCATGGAGTCTGTTCAGAGCGGTTTCCCGCGATTTACTAGTTCCGATAATAGACTTCCTACCAGTGGAACTGAAAAGTCACAGTTCAAAGTGTCCCTTTTAACGTTTATACAACGATGTTTCCAATCTGAAGCAACGTTTAGTGTCACAATTGACTAGGTCTAGACCAGAATCTATTGATAGGGACCACAAGAAGACACCGAATTTTTGGTATTATGCAAAAGTGTCATTAGGACGAGTAAATAAGAACTTGAAAAGATCAAATTTTTAGAACATATCGAAAAATAAGGGGAAAATAGGTGTGACAAGCCCACTAAAAATGAAAATCTTGGCTCTAAGTTGATATAATAATTTTAGATCCAGAAGATTAATGGTTTAAGAGATATTTATGTTGAAACTGTCAAGAAGTACCGATCTGTTGCTATAGCAACTCTGTTGGAAGACCGTGAAGTCTGTATTCCTATTTACATATCTTATCACAAGACCCTCCGCCAGTCCCAGCGTCGATACTTGTTGCGTGCGATCTGAATTTGATTGGGGAGTATTACACCTGTTTCCACGCTTCGACTACTCGTTGTACGAGTAGCTAGGGTCAGAGCACTCGATCTGATCTATCGATTACGAGCCTTTTACGTCGGCAAATTGCGCTAGTTATTTTTAGACGGCATGGTTCGCGAGAAATAGCAAAGACGGATGCAAATTCCAGATGGTCGAAGGAAGTATCGCATATGTACCTCTAACTTTAACGACTGAAATTTCTTCCACCTGACAGCTTGACGTCAGAATGTCGTAGGGCACATAAGACACGAGGCACACGTATTAACCTCTTGCATTACGATTTAATTATAAAACACGGTTTCATTTTTAGCCAGTCACGAAATATTTATTTCCTCCACGAAGGAATAACATCACGAAAGTACTCAGTATCTATATGATTATTAGTACTATGCATTTGACTCGCATGACGAAAATAGTGCTCCTTTGTATGCCTTGGTATAGACTCGAGTCTATAGTATAAAACTTGCTCGGGTTTTGTTTGAGCCCTTGCACTATGATTTCATTCTGACAAGTCACTATAGGTACAGTACATTCGTGTTGAAATCGTACGAAAATTTTAGAATTTCTTCAGATTTTGTTAATACGTTTGCTATACGCTGTCAATCCGACTACAAATCGTCATTAGTGCTATAAAATAGGATTCATCACCATTTTGAGGTTAGAAAAGGAAAGAACGGAAGATACTCGTGTGTGGCCATATACGAAGAACTCTCCTGCGATCTCACAATCAGTAGAGTGATGGAATAACGAAAGGGGAAGGAAGAGTTTAGGGTCCTAAGTCTACCAGCGGACTGTTCGGTAACCTAAGGGTACTATTACCTAGGGACACTATTCACAGGTCAGGAATCCGTATTTGAGGACTTGCCTTGACTCCCCCTGGTAGTAAAAGAGCGTAAACGGTCTATCCGCTGTCAAGGGTGCAATAGCGACGCCATAGCCATTGTACTGTACATTATTCGCGAATTCGGGAGTCTATTGCAAGGCAAAGTAACTTTGCTTACAGACGCGTTAGATATTACCATCACGGAGAAAGCGGTGCAGTAAAACTCGAAGGCAAAGCGCGTCGGTTGCATATGAATGGCGCGAGACGCAGTGTCCCGACCTACACCAAATCCGACCGGTTAATCCACGCCTCGTACCCGATCAAAATTCCACCCCGATCCCGGCTCTCTCAATTTTTCACTCGCCACCTTATCTCGCCCCGACTGCCAATGACGCGATTATACATTCGGCCCGACCTGCTGCATCCCGCGATAGTCATCTTGCACCCTCATCCCCGTGAGCGCGCATCCCCGGAGCATGTCGATACTTTCCACGATAAACAGACTCTTTCGGCTCCCTTGATCCTATCACGCAGCTATCCTCTATCTATTTTCCGATACTTATTCCTCCTCTCTTTGTGCAACCAAACGACACAGGGGGGCGGCAGGGGGCGGGAATGGAACGCGATCGGGTCGATCTTTCGTCGGTCCAGGGAACGTTCACGGGGCAGAGCGGGAAGATCGTGGAATCAGAGGGAACAGAGGGAAGAGAAACAAACGGGGAAAAGATAGGGTTGTTTCGCGAGAGAAGATCTTATCCTCGCGTCGTGGGAATAGGGGGTGACGCGACAGGGTTGGCGCGAATCGGAATACCGATTTCGAAAATTCCAGGATGGAGTGGATCCTACTCCAGCCAAATGGGAATTCTCCAGAAGAAAGAATTTTGGATGCCAGGAGACACGTGGGTGACTTTGACAGGGACTTGGTCTTAGGGGTCCCTGGAGGCTCCTGGGGGTGAGTGAGGAATATTTCGTGGAATTTTTACTGGACCTACTAGACACTAGACCTAGTCACGGGTCAAATAACCAATTTTAAACTCTGATTCAAAATTCTGCATCCTGTTTTATCGTTTTGGTCAATTGACGACGTGATTTTCCTAGCAATGTAATACGTAATTAATTATTTCGTCGATCATGAAGATCATTTGACCGATTGTGGTAGGTTTAGTGTGAATGGTAATTATAAGAGTACTGATATAAATTATAGTAAGTCCATCACTGTTGTTTCAAGACAAAATAGAAGATGAATTATTTTCTATATTATTGTTTATTTGTTTCCCAATTTTGCTATTTTTTGACTTCATATAGCACTTCTTATAAATTTCTACGTCACAGGAAACCCTGTTAATTGTAATTAATAATAACAACAGTGGAATAATATCTAAATAGCAGTGAATATTAATTTGATAAAATCCAGTCTCATATTTTCAATAATTGCACTATTCTAATGTCAACAGACTCTATAATTATGCCAATGTTCTTTCTCATCTTATAAATTGCTTCGAAAAATTTCCATCTATAGTCTTTTAAGTCAGTATCATTAAAGAACCAATGTTTAAACTCTTCGTCTATCTACTTATTATACTTATTCAAAAAACTATCCATGACAGCGTCTTGCAAACCAGCATTACCTATATATACATATAAACAAATAGGAAATTTATTTTTCCACTTATTATTACATGAAACTGAACGATCAAGATCGGAAATTGAGATATCATGGTGAATTATTCCCGTGAATTATCAGATGCTAGGAAAAACGGGGCTGGTAGAAAATCGACGTGAGAATTTTATCGGTATACTTGGCTCCTAAATTACGTTATAATGCACCTTATGACAGGAAACCGTTGTAGCGTGTAATAAATATGGCATTAAGGTCCCCCCCGGCTCTGGGTCCAACGAAACGTTTAATTAACGTGAATTTGCAAATCCACCCTGTCGAGGATACGGAGAATTTACTTTATTTGTGAAAGCTAATTGGGCACAAACTACCGCGCGCTCTGGCACATCCCGATTTACAATGGAGAAATATACCTTCTTGTCTATGAAGGGACGCGAGGAGGATGGAAAATTCTTTCAAGGTGCGCGTAATTAGACGCTACGGAACGTCTCGAAACTTCGCTGAAATATGAGGTAAACGCGGGGAGAGCG